ACACGCACACGCACACGCACACGCACACGCACACGCACACGCACACGCACACGCACACGCACACGCACACGCACACGCACACGCACACGCACACGCACACGCACACGCACACGCACACGCACCAGCACACGCACACGCACACGCACACGCACACGCACACGCACACGCACACGCACACGCACACGCACACGCACACGCACACGCACACGCACACGCACACGCACCACTCCACTGCCCTGCCGTGCCCTGCACTGGATTGCACTGCACTGCACACTGCACACTGCACACTGCACACTGCACACTGCACACTGCACACTGCACACTGCACACTGCACACTGCACACTGCACACTGCACACTGCACACTGCACACTGCACACTGCACACTGCACACTGCACACTGAACACTGCACTGCACTGCACTGCACACTGCACTGCACTGCACTGCACTGCACTGCACGCACGCACGCACGCACGCGCGCACGCGCCCGCCCGCACGCATGCCCACGCCCACGCCCACGCCCATGCCCACGCCCACGCCCACGCCCACGCACACGCACACGCACACGCCCACGCCCGCCCATGCTCGCACCCACCCTTGCATGGGTGGGAAGCGGGCCACTGACGCCAGCGACAAAGGCCATCGGCTCGGCAGCTGCAGGCTCTTGGCTCAGCTGCCACCCTCGTCCCCGCCCTATGCGCGAACGAGAAGTTTGCACACACGCGCACACATAACCACCCGCCTCGCCAAAGGTCGATCTTGTTCGCTCGTGCGACGCAACAAGCACAAACATTAGGCGACTAGAAGGCTGCCAGTGTAGAACTGGGGTGGGTGGCAGGGGGATGGGTGGTGTGGTTGGTTGGTTGGGTGGGTGGGTGGGTGGGTGGGGTGGGTTAGAAAGAGGAGCTAAGGAGCTCGAGCGGGTAATTATGAGTCAATACTATTGATGTGGAGCCGTTGATAGGCGTGTTGTCCCACTCATGAGCCATGGAATATGCCCTTCCCCTAAAGGAGACTCCTCTTACGTTTTGATTCCTTCTCAGGTTACATGTCAACTTGAAGGAGACAACCCTTACTCAGCTGAGCTTTAGAGCCCCTCATTTGCCGGTTGACGCCGCGAGTTCTTGGTAATGGGTATGGTCGGCAATTTTGGAAATTTATTAAGCAGCCGGTTTGGGCAAACCTTTGCGAGAAACCATGACCATCCACATACATGAATGCCATGTGGACAATCTAGCTAATGTGGCTCTTGACTTACTTTGTTGAACAGCACCAGGTCATTTACGGCTACTATGACTCGGAGGTCCTTGTAGGCGGGCAATGCGGGAATGGGTGTGTTTGCTGGTCTAGTTGTGCTGCAACAGAAGCAACAGTTCTATTTGATTGTGAGAACCTGGCTGTGTTCAAATACCTTACTTCATTCGGCCATTCACATTTGGCCGTTGCTCGAGCCAGTGCTTGAAGCTGGCATGCGACAGGCATCGTGGCTCTGAGCTTGTCAGTCGATGCCGACACACAAGCCCGGGCATCGTTTCGCTGCCAATGCAGCCCAATCACATGCGCAGCTGCGCCTTCCTCACTGTTGTCCGAGGGGCGCGATGTAAGAGTGCGACATGTTCTTGCTTGCCTCGTGGTGATCGGCTGCTCGTATGGTTGTTCGCGACAGTACCAGTCCTGACGTTGGGCCAACTTTGAGCCCCAGGCCAGCAGGGTCAGCATCCGCTGCCGGCCCGGCTGCTGCGCATCCGACTGTCAGATAGGGCGCTGCTGGGCTGGGTCTTCCTGCGGTACTCCTCCTTCACTGACCCCAACCAGATCTTCCTGCCGCTGGGGACGAATCAAACGGCTCGGATTGCTGAACATATTCTTGGGTTCAGATTTGAGGGCCTCCCTTGAGTTTGCACACTTTCCCACGCAAGTTAGTTCCTCGCAGTGCTGCTCCGCAACACTCAGTTTTTTCACAATTGTTGACCCAAGATATAGGGCCATGTTCGAGCGAGCCCCTGTAAACATCACAAGTTGGACGAAAAGTCACTCGCAGTCGCCACTCAAGAGTCACCCGCAGACCCTGCTATCACGCATGGTCAGGTCATTACTCGAGGTACTTGGCTTACTTGTGATATGAAGGGAATCAACCGGCCCCACCGCAACCCGTTGTTGTCTTTCACTTGAAGTTGCTTCGAAGCTGCTGGCCCTGCGCACGTTTGTACAGAGGTTGACGATCGACGAGCTCACGGCGATGGCGGTGGTGCAGGGGGAGGTGTGGGTGACAGGGCCTAGCTTGCTGATGAGGCCGGGTTTGGCCGGGGCCGGGCATGGCAGTACTTTGCCTTTCCAATCTGAGGAAAGGAGGTGCAAGCTTTCTAGTTTGCTCGGACAGTCTTAAATGTTTTGTCGCAGTGGCTGGAGGTTGGACATCCAAGGACTTTGGCTTGGCAACCCTGGAAAAGGCATGATGTGTGCCACGCGACGGCCATTGTCCACTTGCAATGATTCAGATGGATTCAGACGTTTGCAGTTCGAAGGGGGCACTCTCCCAACATTCGCAGCTGCCCACGACATGCGAGGACTGTTCTTGTCAGGCTTGGATCCCCCAAGAAGTCGATGAAATGATCAAAGGGTGGAGCGAGATAAGTCATTTCTCTCAATGAAGGAGCGATCAAGTCTGCCCCGTATCTCGTCTCTTGGCTTCAGGCTGGACCCAGCGACCCTGCGATCTCGGGACTTTCTAATTCCCGCCCCTGAGTGGGGCCGCATCACTGCCCGGGCGCCCAGAACTTGGGTCCCGGACAGGGGGCTCGAGCGCGTCTGTTTGTGAGAGCCAAGTCCCGTTGCTTCGATGGATTTCCTGGAAGCTTGAATGCCCAGGGATAACAGTCTTGACATGCATTCCAAAAGATCCTTGCTTTGTTCCTTTGCAGTATTGAAGGAAAACACATGGTAGGCGCGATTGAATGAAATAAATCCGCTATGCCGCTGAAAGTGGTCTCCCTGCAGATGCCGCTGAAAGTGGTCGTTTCGCATCGATTTCAACTTCTGTTTGAAGAGAGTTCTTCTCTAGTCTCAAAGACGAGTTGCGAATACTGCGGGGCCGTATGTTTGGAGCAATACTCCATTTTAGAACACTTGGTTATTTTCTCCAGGGGACTTAAGCAAACGGAGGTCTCCCAAAGTGGATGAACCCCTGACATCAGGTGGTCCATTCGGATTTGCCGAACTGTCAATCCGGATCGTCCAGAAATTCCAGAACATCTGTCTGTCCCGACTTTGCTTTGAAACTCCCGGTTGAAAAGGTTTGTTTCGGGAACCACTATTGCTCCCTTGGGCCCCATGGCTTGTCCGGAATGTTGTCGGAAATTTCCTCTTGACGAGCAAGTGTGTCCTGCAAGGAGTCTATACAGATGATCTACATGTGCCCCATTGAAACAGAGCACGGAGTGGCTCCTAAACGGGCCTGCTTTTCTTGGGGAGCGTGAGTTCCAATGAGGCCATGACGGTATACAGCGAGACGCTGGTTCTTGGCACAGCAAACCCGGCGCTGGTCATTGAGGCCGCGAGACGGCGAGCGGGCTGTTCTTGGTTGATGTCGCCCCTGGATTCAGTTTAGGGGTTTGATAGATGCGCTGACTCTGTTTCGTGATGTATGCTGGGTTTCTGAGAGTGTAGCTGCTTGACATGAGGGTGAAGCGAACGCAGCAACGTAAGGAACCCCCATTGGAGTGGATTTCTTGTTTCAGCCTTGGCTCGGGCGGCTTGTTAAATTCTGCCAGTGCCTGCTCGGCATGGACTACCTTTGTTGGTCTGATTGCTCCAATTCCCAGAGATGCCCTGTACAATCAGCCAAAGCCCCAAGCCTCCCCGCAGCCCCATCCTACTGCCAAAAAGTGAGATCCACCCAGTTTCAGCCAATGGGTTCCATGAATTGTCGACTTCTCAGCCAAACATCGGATCCAAGCTAACCGGTTCGGCCAGAAACCAAGAAACCAAGACCACCTCTCCCGTCAGGTGCCTCTCGTCGGCGCGGCGCTGGCGGATGCCGTGGCCTCCGTGTGGCACCTGGCGCCTGGGCAGGGCGCGCCCAGCCTCGCCGCCGCGGCCGCTGCGGCCACTGCGGGCCTCGGGAGCTCCATGGCGGTGCTGGGCGCCGCGGATGCGTGGGGAAAGAAACTTGAAGGTGTGCCCTCCCCATGTGAGCGAGGGTGCGAGTGAGAGTGAGTGAGTGGGTGAGGGAGTGAGAGTGTGAGTGGGTGGGTGAGTGTGAGTTTGAGTGAGAGGAACCTGGAAGCTCCAAGCTCCCACCCCGAAATGGATGACCCATTTACGGAGCCCAATTGGGGAGCTTCCATGTTCGTCTGAGGGAGTGTATGATGGCAGCGTCTGTTTTTTGAATTCGGACCCCCAGATTGGCGGTTTTCCTTTTGGTTTCCCTTAAAACCGCCCAAATAGGGGGTAATCACTCTGAAAACAAGACGCCCACATGGTAGGTGTTGATGGAGGTGAAAGATCGAGTAGCAATAGTGAGGCATTTAATTGGTATATTAGGTTTCTTTTGTATTGTAGTTTGGCCTGGAAGGGCTTCTGTGAGAAGATTGGAGTGGTTAGCAGCAAAATTGCCACATAGACCTTTGAGCTGGAGAAAGTATGCTTTGTATTTTGGTGGATTCATCAAACAATGCCATACCATCATTGACTAAACCTGAGTCTGAACATGCATTTATTGCAATTAACCCTATTTGTATGTTTTGAATGGGGCTGGCTAAAAGCTTTTGGACCAAACCCAGCACCATCTCGTGTTTTCTACAAATTGGGAGGGGGGGGGGAGACCGCATTTTTGAGCCACGCGCAAGTAAGTCCAACTTGAAGTGGTTGCACTTTGACCGGGTCTCACAGCTACTGGATGGGAGCTGGACGGGGTTTAACCTGTTCCCTGACAGTTGTTGCATTTGGCCGGGGTTCTCATTGGGTTTGCGTTTGAACCATCATTGAGAGGGTATTCTTGAGAGGATGTCTAGCTGAATCTCTCTCTTGGCCAAGGAGGGGGTTAAAGAAGCTCAGGCGTCCTTTGGGGTGTCCTTCGTTCCTATGGCGCGAAGTCGCTAAAGGTAATTTCTCCGATCTCTGGGGCTTGGACACTTTTCGAGGCAACTGCCACTTCTCATTGCCTGACCGATACCTGACAGTGACGCGAGCTGATTTCTTGGAAGATAGCAGGGGGATTCTTGTCCCAGGTCCAAAAGCGTCAACCCCGAAAGATACAGCTGAGTTTTTTGCGGGTGCTAAGTGGTGGGACCTGGACAAGTCAACTGAAAGCTTGAAACAAACTTAATGGAAAAGCGACCTCCAGAAAAGCCTGGTGTGTGTTTAGACCTCTTTTCTATTGGTGTGTGAAACGCGGGAATTGTCAAGCAGTAAATCAAGCGCGAAGCCCGGCAGCGTGAGTTGAGATCTTGGGTCGCAAGAACAAGGCCAGATCCATTGAACCGGTGGCAATCAGGGCAAGGTGTGGCCAAGACTTGTCCATCTGAGTGGCTGGGGATTTCTGGGCCGCTTCCGAACTTCCAAGGCACCGACTCGGCGCCCCCGCGGCTGCTGTTCCTGCCCTCGCAGCTCGGCACTTTCAGCCCGGTAGACTTGGACCGTCTAGACTCTGAGACTTTTTAGTAACCAGGACTTGGCGGTTCCCAGCTGTCCCCTTAGGTTTTAGGTTTTGAGGGGTTAGTGGGAGTTTCCAGGTTTTCAACTTTTGGCAGGTCTGAAAACCATCAGCCCAGTTGAGGGAGTCTCACGAATATCTCACCAACTGTTTGTTGCTTTTCAGGGACCCATGAAAACCGAGGCAGCTGGTGGTGCCTCTCGCAGGGAACCGCACCACGGCGCTCGCGGTGCTGCCTGCGGTGCCTGCTGCCCCGGGTGGCCGACTGGCGGTGGCTGTGGGCCAAGGCCACCGGGAGTGGAGAAAGCATCGGAGGTGTTCCTTGCGGTTTTCCCTTCAGCCCATCTGAAGAAAGTGGGGCGCTTCCAACATTCTTGTGGACGTATCCTTTTTTCGACACCCCCTGTTCGCAAGATCCGAACTGGCCACTTGATGCTGCGCGCAAGGCTTCACGCAGCGAAAACACGTATGAGACGTGGGGGCCAACCAAGACAACTTGTGTGCTCACCCGCTGCAGTCGATGGCTGAACGTCCAACGCTTCGTGCAGCAAAGCTTATGCAGCTACGCACAAACCCCCCTGAAAAGGAAGGCTCATGTACGCTTTTGCGCAGGCGCAGACCCAGCTGCACTGCACCTGTTGCACCTGCCGGTGGCGATTTGTGCAGAGCTGAACAGCTCCGATGACTCCGAGGAGCCTCGATTTTGCCGTTGACATCACCCCCTTTGAAGAGGGCTGTCAGGAATAACAAGAAGCATGTGCAATGAATCATCGGAGTGATGAGCTTCCTTGCAGTTGCATGGGTTCCCACAGTTGCCAGGATTTTGTGGCACTTTGGAGCCCAGGCAGTTGTCACTGAGCAACCACGTGTTGCTTTTGATCTATGTCTGAGCCGATCGTAGCACCTCTGACCCGATCGTAACACCGAAACGGGTTTCGGCTGTGACCTTGCAGGACAACGCAAATGCCACCCAGGCGTGGGGGGCTGGTTCGGAGGCTGCGTGAAGGGAAAGGCTTGCTCAGTTCTGTAGCACCTCTCTTGGCCCTTGCAGCTTAGTCCCCGTGCCATGTCAGGGTGGTCCTTTTTGGACCTTGGAAACATGGTTGGACCCCTAAAAGGGAAGGTTTCCTCTTGATACACCAAACAGGGATCAAGGGGATCAACAATTCTGCAGCCATGAAAGGTTTGCATTTCAGCAGTTGCACTTTGCACGTTATTCAATCCAGCGATTTGTCTCGTGCGACTCTTGGGCCTTGTGCTGGAATCCCCTTTGGAACGGTCTCAAAGGGAACACACCAACCATTCAAAGTGGTGGTCACTTTGGACACGTGGGTGTTTCCAACTCTAAGGGGACCTAAATGTGATTTCCCTTTTGTCCTTTTGAGTCATCTCAAACCCATTCGGGCCCCTTGTCGACGTCTTCTTTGTAGGACTGCGGCTTGCCGGTGGTCGTCCGCTCCATCCCTTTGGAGAGTGGCCTGGAGATCTCCAGCCTGGTGTACGACGGCGGGGGCCCAGGGCTCTGCCCGGTCCCTGCGAAGCCGCCCCGTTGCGGTGGTTTCCCCTTTCTCGGGATTTCGGATTGGCGGGCCATGAAAGCAGCCAGAAAACGGGAGAGGGCAGGCAAGAGCAAGAGGGAAAGCGGCGGGCGACAGCAGGATGCCGGGTTGTCAATGCTGTTTCTGGAGTGCCCTTAGAGCCCTTGAGAGGTGCCAATCTGCAAGCTGCGCTGGTGGGTGGCAGCGCGACCAGCCCCAGGCGGGACCTAAGGGATGATATGCGTGCTCACAGTTGTTGACTGAAATGGCATGCCAATCAGGTACTTGTTTTTGCTTCAAGTGTGCCATGAACAGTACAATTGACATAGATGGAATGAAAAAGCTTCTGTGCGGAGGATTGAGGAATGCGTGTCCATCTCGCCTCACGCAAGGATAGTTGAGGCTGGCGCAATTTTTGCGGGGCTTATATAGCATCTGTCAAAGATGTACACATCGTTTCCATATTTGACATGAGGTGGATGCAGGTATCACTCACAGATGGTGGTGACGCTTGCTGTTCAGATTAAAGCTCTAGAAAGGAGTGGCCTGTCCTCAGCTGCCAAGTTCCTCTTGCCGCAGGTCCTTTGCGGTGGAGATCTCCCCGGAGCTGGACATGGACTGGGCGGGGATGGCAGACTGCCGCCTGTGTCCTGTTTTCAAAGAGCAAGCAACATCGTTGAGACTAGAGTCAAAAGATGTGTTGTGTTGACCTGGTTTGGATGATCATGATCATGATCATCGTCGTTGTCCTGCCAAGCCAATCCCGTGAACCAAGAGCGCTTCTGATTTGTCGCAAAGTCACAACTAGCTTGATGGGGGATTGCGAAGCGAGTCACAAGCAAAACTTAAATGCTAAACTGGCGTACGCCTTCTTCAAGGGCTGCCCCCTAGGTCGACTCAGAGTCAGGTTTTGATTTTCAGGGACATTCTTTTCTTAACCAACACTTTGGACTTCTTGGGCTGTCCCCCCCCCCGACTCGGTCGGCTCAGATCTGAGTTCTGCGGGAGGACATGGCGAACGCCTCGGAGGTCGGGGAGGGCCGCCTGGCGTTGGCCGTGAGTCCTGGGGCGCTGTGGGCGCTGCTGCTGCCGCCCAGCGGCCCCTCGAGGCGCGGTTGCGGTTTTGGGCGGGGTGGGGGGGGTGTGCGGGGGTGTGGGGTGTGTGGGGTGGGGGGGTTTTGGGGTGGCGGTAGCCTCAGGCATTTCGGGCTATGTTGGAGTTTCTTTTTGGGGAAGCAAGTGGCAACATCCAGGTTCGCATTTCCAAGCCTTGCAAGATGGATGAGATTGAAGTCTCTTTGTGGTCAGCTTGCGGACTCGCAGAGAGCTGCCAGGTTCTCCATGCTTTCGCAGGATGACCCCGCCGCGCCTTGGCTAACCCGTATCCCATCATGAAATTGAGCTGTGGGAGACAGAGTTGCGCGTCATTTTGTCCGCTTCATGTCAGACTATTTGACTCGCAGTGCGCGGATTGGCCCCGCTAAGGTTGCAGTGGGCATGTCCCTGACCTCCGTTTTCGGACTGCGCATTCCAGGAGGGTTCGGGAGTCTATTCGGTCTTGCTCGCCTCTGCCAGTGCGAGTTTTCAGGGTTGTCAATCAAACGGCCTGGATCGTTCCTATTCGCTGGTCGTCTCGAGAACAGGTCATTGTGGTCATAGCATGCTCGAATTCCTTGTGTCTATGCACGTAGTTATTGTCATGGAGTTTCTTGCCCAATCCCACTTCTCTCCCCTTGCTGCAAAAGGAGATTCACCAAGTTCGCACTCTGACTAGGAGTTTTATTGATTTTGCTTATTTTCCGAGTTTCCAGTTTTCTACTGCGAGACTTGCAGGCCCCATCGACACCGGCTACGAGGCCACCACCGGCAACGGCGGGCTCTCGTCGCCGGAAGGCATTGCCTACGCGGATTTGCCGGAGCCCTGCGCCTCGGGCCTTGTAAGTATGAACACACACACATGGCCGTGGGTAAAAAAATAGGGCCCCAAAATGGAGGGTTTGGTACATGGAAAAGTAGACCAACACCTGCGTAACCTGGGTCTTGATTTTGAGCCACACCCACATGTATATTTATTGCACCCTGCACAGTGTATTTAAATAAATATGCTCTACACGTTACCTCGGCCATGTTACATCAAGGCCTTGAGCCCACAGATTTATACACTGCCCGGCAAAGAAAACAACACACACACACACAGATGTCATTCGCTTCAGGCAAACAGGTCATGCAAGTCGCTCCCATTTTAACATGGTAGCGGAGCTGTAAGTCACAACCGCACATTTTCTTGGGAAGCATCCTGCGGCCATGCCCAATACACGCTACGACAACAAGGGCGGCACAACAACAGCAACCGCAGCAGCCACAGTTGGAAGGAATTGCAAGTACAAGATAGCACCGCCACGATTCACAGGCGAGAGCACCGCATTTGAAGAATGGAAGCACGAGACGGCAGCATAGCTTGCGCTGCAAGATTCAGCACAACTACAAGTCACAAACGGCCAGCTGGAAGCAGCAGAACCTTCACCGCGACTAAACAACAGACAATACATGGTCAGCGCATGCGACGGACCAGCGTCATCCCGGAAGACTGCTGGAAGAGTAGTGGGAGTACAGAGAGCAGCGCAGATAAGAAAAGAACAAGCCCCTTGCGTCACGCTTTTGAGAGACACCCGCAACGAAGGTGTTGCATAAGCATGTGCCAAAACGAGGGGTGAGCATATTTATATGGCACATGCATATGATAACGCGTATTGTAGATGCCAGCGTAGATGCACATAGGCTTAAAGAAATACATGCAATACAAATGTATACATGGGGCGTGATTTGAAGGCACCCTCAATGGGATTATCTATTTGGCAGGGAACTAAACTCGAAGTCAATCAAAAGAAACCGCAAGTCCGTACAAGCCCTGAAGCACCCTGGTGGCGGCTTTAGGTGAACCATACTTGTTTGGCCCAAATGTATTCTGAGCATAGTTGTCAGAATGCGACCAGATGAATTGAGGCCTCTACGTGGCGGACACCGGGAACCACCGGGTTGTTCAGCTGGCAGTCTCGCTGAGGCTGTTGCGTTACATGACGCACTTCGGAGAGTCAGGCCGGATGTGAGGAACATCTTTTTTGGTGGTCGTTTGTGCCACTCTGACAATTTTTGGCCATGTTCCTATCTCAAGTTGTGCTGAAGAAACTGATCCAAACAGAGTCAGTCCCCGTGTCATGCGCTTCTCAACGCTTGGCTTCGACGTTTCGAGGCTTCCCCGGGTCCGGCCTGTCGCGGCTGGACACGCCCGCGGCGGTGGCGGTGGGCGACGGGCTCCGGGTGTACGTGCTGGACGCAGGGAATCGCCGGGTAGTGGTGCTGGCCACAGGCGGGAGGGGCTCTGCGAGTCCGACGCCAGGGTTTACAGCGCATGGCCTGCAACCCCCACTTTTCCGCGGCTGAACCTAAAGGCCTGCCCGAAGCATGACATGCGAGACACGTTTTTGCGGGCACTCCCTGGGCGGTTGTGCGGTCACCGTGGCGGGTCGGCCGGGTCACGTTTGTGTCAATGCGTTCTCGGACGGGCATTGGTTTGGTTCCGTATGTTTGCATTGTCAGCATGCAAAGATCCTGACCCCGCAGCGCTCAATTCAGAGAGGCTTACGGTAGTCCAGGACTGCACCATGAGGTTCGCCGCTTGACAATGGTCACCAACCCAGCTGACCGAAAGGGTTGAGACTATTTTGCAAGTGAACATGAAAGAGAGCGCCGAAGTGCGCAAAAGGAGCTTTGTCGACAGGTGACGTGTTGGGTCAGCTGAGCTACATCCAGAGCTTGGCGCTACCCTTCGCCGTAACCGGCTCGGCGCACCTCGTGTTACAGCCGGGCGCAGGCTTAGGCGCGTATCGGGGAGCGCTGGCAAGGGCTGGAAACCAGAATTGGGAGGGGGGCTGAAGCGGGCGAAGAGAGTCCAGCAGTCCTGGACTTGGGAAAAGAGACTGGCGTGTCCAATTATTGGAGTTGCTGAGAGTCTAGGAGTCCTGGACCAGAAAAGGAGCCTGGTGCATCCAATCATCCGATTGGTTGCGCCTCGCTCGCAAGGCCCTGCCACCCTGTGGGCTGCGTGGCAGCGGAATCTGATGCGCTGGTCGCTGGCCACACCGGCGCGGTGGCAGCTCTTGGCCCCAGCCGAGGTGGCGGCCGAGGCACGAGTTGTGGGTCGTGGGTTGCGGTTGGTGCAGCAGCATACCGTAGCGTGAAGGAAACTTGTTCAAAGGATGATAGATCTGATTCCGACACAAACGCTTGGCTACCACAAAGATACCACAATTTTGCCCTCTGCGGTCGGTTCGGCCCATCTGGCTGTGGGTCAAAATTAGGTACCCAAAATGGAACCCTGGCAAATAGGACCAAGGACTATAACCTGCGGCCCCCCTGGTGGTTTCATTTTGCCCCAAACCCTTTCCGGGGGCCTGGCGCTCCCGCGCTAGCGCCGGAAATCTCGAGGCCGTGGTGCCCTTGGAGCTAGACTTCGAGGTGACGGAGGGCCAGCTGGCGCCCGGCGTGGCCGGAGGCGCGTGCGGCCGCGCGCGCGCAATCGCGCGCGAGGGTCATCGAGTGACGTGTTCATCGCCCTTTTTTGGGGGGGACGCGGGGGGTTGGGAGAGTCGAAGCTTGGTGGGTTGCACCAAAGCATTTTCTTTCGGTATCCTGCGGATTCAGAGACTTGTGCCATGGTGTTTGGTTACCCTCACAATGACTGAGAAGTGGAAGGTTGCAGGAAGTGCGCAAAAGGAAGGGAGCCTTGCAAAAGGATCTTCACCGTGGACCATTCGCTCCAGCGGTTCGGTTGGACGACCTTCTTCCGGTTTTGGTCGCCAAGGTGCGACCTCAGTTGTGTGTCTTTTTCAGGCTCGGGTTGGTCAATCCGTTTCAGGTTGCGGGATCAAGAAATTTATCCCCACTTCTTTGATACCAGGGAATCTCCCGCTTTAAATAAAGGTGAGTCTTTCAGCCCTTTTCGTTGTATCATCCCACCGCCCTGATCCATTTGGGTCAGTCGGCCTTCGAGGGCTGCTGCTCACCGCCGCGCCGGCGCTGTCCTGGCAGCTCACGGCGGAGAGCTTGGCGCCGCTGTGCGAGGCGGGTTCCACGGCGGGTCCCCTGGGTGCTGTGCTACGACCGCTTTTCTTCCATTTACTTAAGAATATGTTCCATTTTCTCCTGTTGGTTTCAAAGGGACTCTATTTCACTACTGGAAATAGGTTTTATATTATTTCCAGGGGTCTGAACCAAATGGACGTTTTCCCATGTCCGAAGTTGCACCTGAGCCGTGGAAAGCTGGTGGTTGCTTTGGGTTTCTCTGTTTCCGCGCCCAGCACCAGGGGAGTCTCCCATCAGTCGGGGAGTCTGGACAGTAGGATGCTGTATGCACACCTTTCACTCGTTGCATGATTTCGGGCAGCGCCTGAAATGCCCGGTTTGATTGCGCCTGGAGATTTGCAGCTGTTTCCCAATCCCTCCTGAGATTGGCCGATTTGGGGCTCTGTGACCATCACCGTGGTTGTCAAGCTAGGCAGTCACGATGTAGCAAAATCACCATGCTGATGTGGTAGAGCAACCCGAAAGATGGTGTGCGTTGCTGCAGGTGTCATATCCTTAGTTGTTCAGTGGCACCCTTTTTCCTCTTTTTTGGTGGCTGCCCCACTACAAATGGTCTTCCCCAAAAAGGGTTCCCTTTTTTCCAGGGTCACTGAACAACTGAGTATCTCGCTACAAGAGCATCGAACGTGAAGGATATCAAGGTATGTAGCAGAAAAGCTGGTAGGCGGTGCTCACAGGCAAGCTCCTCTCAAGGCCAAACCAGGGGAGCTCGTGCCTTGGCCCGGCGCCCGCAATCCGAGGCGGAAGCAACCTCTTCCTCTGGCGCCCGGATGGTCATCGGCTGCGAGTTCCTTGGTGGAGGCTGGCATAGGGCCAAGGTCTTGTGCCTGCAAGGAATCCGCCCAGACAGGGCTGAGAGCACGACGGGGGGATAGCCAAGGTGGCCAAGAAGAGATCACAGGCATCCAAGGAAGGCAACAGGCAGGTGCCAAGTTATTGCGAGGCCCGGGGCTGCCTTATCCTTCAGTGCTGCTGCGGCCCTTGCTACTGGAAGGGCGCATGAGCGCCTTGGAAGAAAAACAAGTCTGTGGGTTAGGGGCCAGGTGTTATCAGCTTGTTGGCTGCAATTTGGGCGGCAGTTGGTTTTTTTTGAAGAAATATGTTTAGTATGAGGCGAAGGTCAATCCGAAAACGAGCTTTGACCGAGACATACGCAATGGAGACCATGTCAGCTTCCCTCTCCTGTCCAGAGCCCTTTTGAGGTTGTCAGTGATCAATTGTGAAAGAGGTTCTCTTTGGGGCGTTGAACGGGGACACAGAAGAGCACCTTGTGCATGGCTCTCCTCCCCTTGCCAGAGGCGCCAGAGCCCTGGCCCTTCACCCCAGCCTGCCGGGCGTCCCGAGGCCTCTCGGTGCGGTGCCGGCTGCCCGCGGGAGCGGCGCCCAACGTCTTTGACGTGCGCTCGGGCGCCTGGACGCTGGCGCTGCTGGGGCAAGGCGCGGAATCGAACTGGAAGTCTCGCCTAGGTCCCCCAGTAGTGCCCTTTTGCCCCCTTTTTTTGTGAGGGTTCCCCTACTAAAATAGACTACAGGAAAAAGGGTGCCCTCAGAATTCCAAGCAGATATTTGCATACATATGCCTATTAAAGAATGTGGAGGACTTCCTTTGAAATAACTACTCGTGAATCATGCGCGGAAGACGAGCCAATGACAATCACAGGCTTGTACATGCTGTAGGTGGCTTGCATTTTGCTCATTTTAAGGGTCCCGACCTTAACAAGTCCAACACCCCGCAAGTAGGGTGAAGCACGGGCGGGAGCCAGCGGCACCGAGCCAAGCGGATCTCGAGGCTACGGGGTGCTCCGGAGCCGCCTGCTGCCGCCGCCGGCCATCCCGGCGCTGGCGGTGCCCGCGGCGCCCCGGCTGTCGCTGCCGTTGGTGGTGGCGCCCCCGCAAGGCGTCGGCGGCGCTGGGGCGCTGGGGCGCTGGGGCTGGGGCGTTCGGAAGGTTTTGCTTGGTCCGACTGAGGAGGGCGGCTCGGATTCGTCAACGTGGATTCAAGGTGGTTTCGCCGAGATGCCCCAGCTCTGTGTTAGGTTTGAGAGGTGATTGCCTGCACCACTTGGGCCAAAAGGCGCGATCAGGTGTGCTTTGGGATACTCAGTGTGCCCACGAAACTCAGGTGCAAAAAATGAATAATTGGTATTGGCCATTTGCCAACAGAAGAATGTGACAGTATCATGTTGGAAAGTGACCAAATCCGGGATACCTGGGCACCGGCAGGCAACAGGGGTCAGACAATTTGTTGCTTTGAAGTCTTCCATCGAAACTTGTCAATTCTCACCAAGGGTTGAGGCTCAGAGAGTGTACTAAACACATTCATGGATTCCTGCCCCCGCAAGTCTGCGACCCTCGTTCACTATCGGAGTAGTTCAGGGAATGGATGATGTTATTCTTTGGGCGCTTGAAATGTCAGCCTTCTCAGCGTTTTGTGCTGCGGTCGCTCCAGTGTGACTGAGTTTGGGCCTGTGACAACATGACATTGAGCGCGTTGCTTTGCAGCTGCAAGCAAGCCTGTAGACCCTTAGCCCCAGCGGTTCAATGGCAGATGACGGCCTTTGCTGGGTTGATTGCAGGCCGTGCTCGCCTTGGATTCGACGTGACGGTGGCTTGACTGAAAGTGAATGCCACGGGATGCCGCTGACTACGCACATGCAACTAGTGTCG